TAATCCACAATGCGGTTCACGTTGCAGTTCTTAATCCTGGACGTCCGCCAGTGATGATTCGATCTTGTCGCCGAGTGCGGTTGCCGCTTCTCGAAGCGCGTTGGTGTTGATCACCTTTACGGCTCCCTTCTATGGTCCGCTTGATGGAGAACCTGGGCATAGCTTGCTCTACGTGTAGAGGACAGGGAGAAAAGCTTGAGGATATTACGTCTGAAAACGGAGTGAGAGCGTGTGGGTGTATCCCCCGGTCTGATCTTGCATTCAGTCCAGTCCTCGTGTCGTACGACCTGTGTGAACCATGTGGGTCCTATGCAGCATCTATCCACGGATGATGATTCGAACAGTTCCACTTGCCCCAAGTAGTTGCAAGTGCAGTACAAGACGAAGGTCATTCCCCGCTTGCCATGATGGGGCAGTACAGATGAATCTTGACAGTCTTGCAGCCAGTCCATGCATGCTGTGTAGCCACATTTTCCTTGTGCCTTTGCCTCTCTCGATTCCGAGTGGTGCCAGTAGAGAGAAGTGTGTCCCAGATTGCGTTCTGGCGAATATCCCGGCTGTTCCAAAGCTTCTCATTCCTGGTTGAATAAGCCAGAATCTGATGGACTATCCTTGGATGGATGATGGCCTTCGGAGCGTTCTTTGCGAGGGGGTCGGCAGAAAAATCTCCCCATGGGACGTGGTACACACTCGAACACTCAAACGCCCGCGTTCGATGAGCCCCATCGTGAACCACTTCCGCAGCTGGCGTTACTTCGTGTTGCTCACTAGCGACAAGGTACCTGTCGAGTAATTTCGGATTCGAGCGTTGCTGAGCTGATTGTGAAATCCGAGTTCCGACGACGTATCTTGAATGTAGCAGCATTCTCGTGCTGCGTATGAGATCGAAATCATCCCCGCGTCCGTTGTGCTAAGTGCAGTCAGCGATTGCAGCGACGATGAGGCCCATGATCTGGGCGCTCCGCAGAGAAGGAAAAAGCGTCCTCTTGTTGACCTCGTCTTCTCAAGGGGTAGAGCAAAGCTTCCGTCCGCGCAAGCGCGGATCTTGAAACCGCCCTTGTAGACGATGTCCAGCTCTGGCCGTTGTTTGAGGTACCGGAGTACATGGTTGGCCCTGGACATGTTCGTCACGCTGGGCACCCGTTTGCTAGTCCCGTGTCAGTTCAAGCACGACTGATGACATGTCCCAGCGACTGGTTCGGCTCAAGTATCGGAGGTTCCGATTCAGCTTTGGTGCGGCTTGATAGCGTCCTCGTCCAGCAGAGTGTCTGCTGGCTGATCGAGCGATAGCTCTCGTCCCACTCTTGGCGTGCTGACTGGATTGCAGTGTTGCGTTCCAGGAGTGATGTGGTGTTATCCAGTCGGCTGATCGGGAGGGTCTTCTTGACTCGATCGCGTGTGATCTTCACCCCCAGGATGAGAGACACCTCTCCGAGATCGCTCATGGTGAAACGATCTATAAGCTGCTTCTTGTGCTCGACGAGCAGCTTCCCGTCAGGCGATGTCACGAGAATGTCATCACTATGATGGTCAAACGACAGTACCTCCCTCAGTTTCGGAGATGTACGTGGATGGGTCCGTCCTTTGGCCTTTGAATCCCATCGCCAAAGAGCCTTGACGAATGTAAGATGCTAAATGCGGCTTGCTGTGCGCAGTTTGTACACTGCTTGCTTCAGCTTCATGGTGAACGGTTTTCCTTGGGCATCAAGCTTCACGTATCCAGGAGCTTGTCGCACGTATGTTGGGGAGTCGATGGCGCTTTGAAGAAACGCTGCCTCGACGTCCAGCATTAAAATATCCCTATTCAAAATGGCAGGCGATGTCCATCAGTATCCGTTGACTCTCGGTGCGGCAAACCGGTTCAATAGTTAAAGCTGCCCCGCAATCGACTCCTGTCTGTTGAGCATAACCTTGAAAGACACTTCATGCCTTGAAAGGTTGTAGCTCTTGACCTTGAAGGCCCACCGTGATCCGATGGTCTGGTTTCCGATGGGAATGGACGATCTTGGAATGAGGTCGTTGACGTTGCTCTCGTTAAGTCTCGCCATTTCCTTGTCCATAGCCACTGTGCGCTGTGTGTTGATGCCTTGTCTTCCTTGATCGTGTTGGGCGACGCGATGCTGGCCGGATCCGGATTGGATTGGGTGATCATTTCCGTGACATATGTGTACTCCACGAGTGACCTACAATCCTGCTCGAGACCATGGCCAGACGTTTCATCTCAAATATAGTTTTTGCGTCAAGCCCCGCAGTCTCCACGCTCGGGGTGTAGTGGGCAGGTTCCTCTTGGATCATAAGGTCCTGTTCAGCGATGTAGCATGTCCCTGCGATCGTAGTAATGCCGCGCTGTCCAGCGATAGTGATGTATCAGGAAGTATCGAATAACTTTATGATGTTGTGCCTGCGGCGAGTCCTCCTCGTGGTCGGATGACGTTCCGTTACTCGCTGTTCCCACAGAAGTCGGTGTTGACGGCGGACTGAGCATATCCACTGAACCGATTGTTGTGGGTGGACGTGGTGAACCTTTCGCATAGTTTGTCCTCTGCGACTGTTTCCACTTGGTTGTTATTATCCTCGCCAGTTGAGCCGAGGAGAGGTAATTCGCAAGAATATCCCAATGGTACGCTTCCTCAGCGCCGTTGTGATCTGAATTTTCGTCCTCGTCCCGATTGGACAGGGGTGTGTCTTGTCCAGCTTCCGGCAGTGCCATTGGCTGCGTCTCACTAAATGTGACGTGAACGCCTTCCGAAACCCGGCTTTCTTGCGGATTGTAGACGCGATAGGACTTATTTTCCACCTGCTGCGATGATCCGTGCACTTCCTGAAATAGTTGGACCCGTCCTTCTCTTAAAGCTTGAACTAGAACGGTCCAGCCGAGTTCGTGTGGACCAGCCCGGATGGAGATGAGGTCTTGACCGTTGATTCTTTTGGATGCTTGAGCTGAGCATTTTTCCCAAGCTTGGAAACCTTGCAAGAGAAAAATTCTCCTTGGAACGAGACACCCGAGGCAGGCTTGGGGGGCAGCGACTTAATGCTGTTCTCGTTCAGGTGTCCGAGACGACGGTTATCCGTGTCGTCGTTGGTTGTGGGAAACGCCGACTGCGTTCGAGCTGATGAAATATTGGGGGGAGAATCTTCAAATCTACCTTGAAGATCGCCCATCTCGCCTCAGAGGAAAGTGAATGTTGTCCCTTTCCAGTCTTGGGAAGTACGACGTGATTGTTCCTATGCCCTTCGTTTGGCAGCTCCGGATGAGAAAAGCTCCGTCCAATCCCCAGACCTATGGTGATGGGTATACGCACGATACGCGGCTTCCCGTTGCTGTCGGCGATGCCGCCGCGTAAAAACCATGTATTATAGTAGCTGTTCCACCGAGCTTGTCCAGGCCTGCCGTGGTTATGACACGGGGAGGTAGGGGCCAGTCTACGACAATCTGGCATCATCTCCTTGATACCCGGAACCAGTGTATCATTGCTGTAATGAGCGGATGCTCCGCGGTCAACCATCATCGCCAAACACGCGCAGTTGCGGTCGAGAGTTCTTCATCCTCCGTGACCGAAAACGAGAATCTCAGGGGTTTTTGAATGATGACGTCGTTGTTCTGATCCGATGTCATCTATAATACTCTTTTTCCCCGTTAGCTTAGTTTACCCTTTCGTGACTACAGGCCGATTCAGCTCCGTTGTCAGCTCCGATTACTTTGCGTGCCGGAAGATCGCTATTGGTCCTCGCCGAAGAGCAAAAAACATACATAGCTACCAGCAGGGACACAGAGGCAACCCAACCCAAAAGCACGCTTACCAGCAAAGCGCACAGGACACACACGCTCTACAATACTATTCACCCATGCCTAATCTCTCTGATGTGGGGCAGATATCCTTTCCAGATCCAATCTACTGCCTACCGGTGCTACTACTGTAAGATTCAAACGCATGATACCACCGGAGGGTACATGCAGCACCCTCAACATGTTCCCCCCGGTGCCGCATCCGCGGAGAAGAGCAGAGAAAACGCACAACGGAGCCGATGCTGACGTACTGCCTCGGTGCTTGATGTTGTGCTTGCGGTGCGTGTGGTTCCCAGTATTGGGAGTGAAGGTGGTTGGTTTGCTGTGTGCAAGTTTTCGCTCAAAGGCAAGGGTTTTGACCTCCGATCACACCTCCGATTACAGTTCTATATTTGTAGTACAGAATTGTACAGTTATCACGATTTTTATGCATTTTGTACGATAGTGGTTCTTGAGTGGGCCGTTACTTCTTTCGTCGATCTGGCGCTTCTGTGAGGCGGATTCCCGTCAGCGTCTTCGCATCTAGCGCTGCTAACTTATTCGCCTTTTGCCGCATGCTCTATCCAAGGATGAGGCGGAGAAGATTTTCCAACAGGTGTTGCTTACGCAGGTACATCCTCTGTGAGGATGGTTACTGTCGGAGACAGGCATGCACACCTGCCCTGCTCAGAAGCTATTGCTGCTGCTCTATATTTCTCTCCGCATAACTGCTACCGCTGTACAGTAGGAGTACTGTTGTACTCCTATTCGATTCGTCACCCTTACATATTCCGCGTCCCCTTCCCTGTGAGTCTCACACATGGACCCACTGCTGCACCATCCTTGCTGCCGTGATTTATGGGTGTACACGCATGCATGGAGATCTTTGACCGCACAGAGCCCGGTGTGGGGAAAGAAAAGATTCAAATTAGCCCAGTCACGTAAGGGTTAAAAAGGCACTCTGAAACGCTTGAACACCCTAGCGGTATCTGTCGTCGAAACATTGTCCCTTGATTACCCATCTTCTTCGGCAGCTGCGTTGGCGAAGGTACTCTCGCCCGGCTTGTGCTGTTTCCTGGAAGACCTCGGTGCGGACTTCCTAGCCGCTCTTGTTAATGTTTGCAGTCCGACGTGTCGTGGGTGTGTGTTTTGTGGAAACAGCACAATTTCTTCTTTCCGGTGGTGTCGCCTTCACCCGGAGCTTGAATGTGCTGCCATCGAGCTTGTCGATACATCCTCCTGACTTCGTGCAGTCTTGTATTGTCCAAGCTCGCCACACGACCAGCATCTGGCCTTAGACGGGTCGCCTGTGAGATGCCTGGATCTGATGTTACTCTTCGGCGCAAGCCAGGCTGGGCCGTTTGCCATTACGTCCATTCTTCGACTCGTGAGTGCACATAGAGCATGGTGCTTCTCCGCAGGCTGTCAGGAATAATATTTTGTAGAAGTAGAGCGTCAATCTGCTCCCATTCGTCAGTCTCGCGTTCGTGCAGAGGTGGTCCATGTAGGGTCCTCTCTGTAGTCTACCGGTATCGTGTCGCGTGCAACGTAACACGCCATCCCTCATCCCGTTCCTATCGCCGTCGGGTGGACGGCCTCGTTTTCCCTGAACTCCTTCATACCCTACAAAGATAACGTTTGGCGACACATGGTTCACATGTTTTTGAGATACGTCGTCCGAGTTCCCAAGCAATCAATCTTTGTGTTTGGTTCGATGCTGTGTCCACCCGATCGTCTGGCGCGGCCACACACACAGGACCCAGGATTGACCAGACGAGAGGTGCTCAAGAGGTACGCCGAGTACGGCGAGAGACAGGAGAAGGCCTTTGGGGAGAACTGGCTCGCTTGCCGACGAAGACTGGCCAAGCCGATCTGGCACATGTTTCATGGAGAGAAGGGCGGCAAGAAGTTCCGGTAGGTCTAAAAGGGATGGCCAAGAGCAGGGCGATTTGGAAGAGTCCCCTGCATCCGCGGCACACTGCTGTGTTACGCGCAAGGAACAAATATTTTGACTGGCTGTTATGTTTTGACAGCACCTATGCATATCAGGACCTGATGTATGTCAACGGAATAGGTGACAGAAGGCACGTGAAGGACTCATGAGCCGATTCATTCCGCGACAGGGCAATGTTCAAGGCGCCGCTGCTTTCAAACGATTCTCTTTTACCGTGTATGGTGCACCACCCGTCTCTCAAATGATTTTGCGCGCGTGGTGTTTTCCCGAGGCTGTTGGTTTGTTTCGCGCGTGCTACAGTAGTTCTTGGCATGCAGGACATTCCGGACGCCAGTTTTTCCCTCTCATGGCTGCTTTTCACCTCGTGGCCTGCCTTTCTCGCCCGCCACCTATTGTCACAGAGTCGCCTTGGAGGGCATGCTGAGAGAAGACAAATCTTTCGGAGAAATCGTGCAGAAATCGTTGCTGGCGATGCCACAAGATCAGGTAACCGGGGTGTTCTTAGTAATGATGTGCGTCGGCGATGAAGAGGTTGGATTTTTTTTGGCGGGGTGACTTGATGCCGTCACACAAGATCTCTTGACTCGCGTTAGCGTGTCCGTAGTTGTTGTTCCGGTTGTATCACGTTTGACACTGTTAACTCTGTTGGCGTGTATGTCGTCGCATTATCGTCCCCACGTAGGCGGAACCCGTGCACTCAATACAACCTTCCGTATTTCTTCTGAACATCTTCATCGTTAACATAGATTACATTGAAATTCTGCCATCCTTTTTCGTTCGCCGCGTGCCGGCAAAGCGTCGTTCAATCTTGTGGTCCTCCTTTCGTTGAAGACCTTGTCGTCGTCGCAACATTGTCGCTGGGTTTGTGGTATCCTGACATCCATGCTATTGACCCGCTCATCCTGCGTTCATTGCCTCAGGTGGATTGGCTTCCTGGCGAAAATTGGCGTTCTCGCCAAGCCGAAGAGGAGGCGGGGCAAGAGGAATCCCTGGCGAAAGACACTGCATGTTTCAGCTCGTTGCCGTCGCCATCGTCACGGGGTGTGCCGGACGGTCGATTTCGCGATGGGCGCTTGCTCTACATGGACAAATGATGAAGCCGGCGACCGTGGGGGGAGGCTTCGGAATTTCGTAAATCGACTGAAACGACCCCGTCTTGTTTTTTTGTGTCGACGCCTTTGTTCACGAAGTCACGCCCATGCGGTTTTCAATCGTTTGCCAGTGGGCGATAAGGAAGGCCTATAGCTCGAACTTCGCGTACAGATGAAGGCCCTGCGTCATGTTGACCCTGCGTAAATAGCAGCCACGAAAGCAAGGGAAGTGCTTCCGGTTTTTCAAGCATTTAATGGAATCGGGGGGCGTGGCATCTACTGACTACGAAGAAGTGCCATTCTGAGACCTTGTTCGTTCACGAGTGCGCGTGGGGCGCACGCTTCGTCATTGCGTTTCCACATGGTGCGAGGGGTCGGGTGAATTGCATACACGCACACCTCGGAAAGCGTGTTCGAGCATGTTGTCGCGGTTACTGACGCCTGTTCATTTGTCCGCCGGATAGCGCGATCGACGCTTTTTACAGAAACAAACACATTATTAGCAGCTTTGTCCAGTCTCCTACGCGATCCTTTATTGGGGTACCCCGAGGACAACACTACTATAGAAAGCCAGTCTCATCTCGTTTCATGAATGACATTCGTTTTCGGATCAGCCTATGAGATATCCGGAGATGGGAGAAGGAGAAGAGAAGGAGTTCCTGTCAGACCAAGTCACATCCTGCTCGCTACCATGCAGGTAGGTTTCGAAAACCGGGCTAACGTCCACCTTGTATCTCGAACGTGCTAATCTTCAACCTTCAGAGAAGCTTGCAACGACGCGTCCCGGGTCCCGGGCACTGCTACTGCTTCGTATATAGCTGAGCGACATGATCAAGCCACCTATCTATACATCTATACAGATGCGTTTTTTGTTCGTAGCGCAACTGGCATCACTAATATAGCTCAGTGTACAGGCTCACACGAACTCAAATTAAGCTCAGTTTCCAGTCGTTTTCAACCCACTTCCTGAAAAGACTTCAACACATCCCTTTCGACTGAGGAAATATATCTAGTCTTTCTGTCAGGTTATGTTTACTCTCTAAAACGTCTATCGGACTTCGCGGACTCCACCATGACGATCGATTGGTTGTGTTGATTGAGCTCATAAATATTAGTCTAAACTACTTCAAGGCCATGCTGGGATCTATCAAGAAGTTGTGAAATTCCATATCACCCGACAGCGGTCGTACTACACTGCTGTAGGTCTGGAACATTCTGTTTCGTGTGAATTCCTTTCGAGCTTGTACAGCAGTGTAGTGTATATACGGTAAGGGAAAATCTCACATCCCGCTTAGACTACACGTGTGGCGACCTGTAGCAGGCTGTACAGCATCGACATTCTTTTACCGCAAAAAGCACCCTCGTTTTGCAGCACCACGCCTCTCTCATATTCTACACAGTGCATGATCGAAAGGAGTGTGTGTGTGTGTGTACGTTATCCGTGGGTGGTGAATAATGTGAGTCAAGTGTTTGTGTGTGCACCGAAAAACATGCGGGCTGCACACCCCAGCCACACATGCACATGCACGGGGCATGGGGAGGATAGACTTATCTTTACCTGGAGGACACGCACCTATATACTTCGCGGAGCCCCCTCGCGAAGCCTCTGGCCGGGCGTGTCCAAAGCATTTGAATGCTCTTGCTAAGCCGACTTCTGGGCGCTCCGCTAGCGTGGACCGCTCGGGGTTCTATCACACCTCACTCAAGCCGATTTCGGTGTCGCTCAGGCACTACTGCAAGGATGCTGGGTGGTGCTGAAGCAGTGCAAGCTTATGCAGGAATCTTCTCGCAAAGCCCCGGCATAAGCAAGGCGTGGGTGCTCCCAGGGGAGCATTCGGAAACACTGCTGGTGCAACGGACAGCTCGCGACATTGAAGGTAGAGCTAGGTTTTGTGCGAGTACCCCGCAATCACATCTGGTGTCGCCCCCTTCATCTCCTTGATCTCAAGATGCTAGAACTAGTAGACAATAATGCCGGTCCGGATCCTTGATATCTGTGGGGCAACTCCTGTACGTTCAGCAGCAGCATGACATACCGCATACATAAAGGAGGTCGAGAAGTAGATCCGGACGAGCTGACGCCTACCCACAACTCTCCACCAGTGCAACTCAAGCAGGAATAAGCATGCCTATTCATCGGCAGTACTAGTCTATAGCGTACATTTACGGTGTGCGTGTAAGTTTTGTAATGCGTAGACGACACAACAACAGGGTAATCCCCCGGATCAATGCGACTGCTCAGCCGACGCCATACTGATCTTGTTCATGTACGCAGCCTGAAGTGAGTCCATCGCTGGTTGGTCGACGCCCACTATCACCCCGCTGTATCACAGAAAGCCCCGCGTTTCACGGTTACTTTCTCTGGAAGTGTACCCTGATTTTCGGAAGTGCACCCTCACCCCCTGAGCTAACGGGAGATGGACAGATGGACCGTTCGAACATCAGCTATTATTATCTGTTTTCTCCGCAGAAATTACTTTCCGCTCCAACCAAGGGAAAGGACCCGAACGATTCATTACCGGTATGTACACAAGCAATGATATCCACCCTCTGCAGTCTCTCCTTCTGGGAATGCTAGTGCATGTTTGGTTTCAACGGGCGTCTCAACCATGGTGCTATCAACCATGGAGCGTGTCTCGGATGTAACTCATCTTTGTTCGGAGCAGGGAAGACTTGTGTTTTTAGTTGGAATTAGAAGTAATTTGCTGTAGAGAAAATCAATGGTTGTCCCGTCAGGTCAGGGTTCATTTCCGAAAATCAGGATGCTTTCCAGAGAAAATTAGCCAGGGCAGAATCTCCGGGCTTTGTGTGACACGGCAGGGTGCAATCCGCTAGGCTCTGTGAGAGCGACACAAGTACGCAGCATAGCCACTACACGCCACCAGCACACAACTCTGCACGCGCATTTCTTTCCACCTGCAGGCAACAAGCTGCGTTCTTTCGTCCACTCCTACGAGCTGACCGAGGGCAAATGGCACCGGTCATCGCCGTTCCCGCTCGAACTCATCGGGGCCGTTGCGTTCAAGCCATCCCCTTCCGGCAAGCTTCTGGCCATCATAAGAGAAGACTCTACGTCAGGCAAAGACGCAACGGCGAAGGACGGCGCGTACGTTATCGAAATCTGGAGCAACGAGGACGGGCAGCTGATGGACCGCATCGCGACCGCCGGCGTGCACGGCAAGATAGCCGGGGGTACCTGGTTCGGGGGTCTCAACTGGTCCCCTGATGAAAGCACGGTGGTCTACGTCGCACAAAAGAAGGCTACCGAGACAAGGTGAGGTGTGGAAGTGTAAATCCCCCCGGTGTTGGAAGGTGGGCGGATTAGCCTTGTGGAGAAGATGAGAGGGTCTGGTATACAGTCCGATACCAGTACTAGGTGAAGAAGAGCGTACGCGATATTCATCAGGCTGGGTGCTCTTTCGAAACGAAAGAGAGTTGAGATCTGATGGTTTGACCGTACGGTGCATTTCAGTGGAAACGAAGAATGTACATTTCATGAATGTATAGGCACGGTGGTGCAAGACGATTGGGTCGCAGCGTACAAGCCAGTGATATTAAGCATAGTCAAGATTACCACCCGAGAGTCTCGGCCCCTTCCGTCTGTGTGCACGTGGGCGCGGTTTTTCATCTCCAAATCGACGTTCATAACGTTGCACCCGATTGGAGCACCCTTTCAGTGATGTTTGTATTTTTGCATGCGTCTTGTGGTTTCGCCTTGTCCTCGCCCCCCATCCCGCGGCTGCGTGTACACATTGCCTAATTGCGATCAAACCCAAACTCACACACCTCTCAGATCGTTCTTCTCGAAGCCCCCGACTGACGAAACCGAAACCGGCTGTAAGTCGTCACCCTTACCGGGGGAGCAGTTCGTGCACGAAGAAGACTGGGGCGAGAAGTATGAAGGGGTGAGCGCCCCTTGGGGATTGACCTAACCTTTCGAAGGCATTATCTGTTGTGCAGTGTGCTAAGGTGTGGCTTTGGTTGCAATGCATTGTGGATCGCCGTTTGGATCGACAGCTTCGAAAATATCGAGATAATGGGCAAGACAAGCCTGCATGCTTGTTTCACACATGTCTGCTGCCAACGAAACTGGACATGATAGCGATCACCCGCGCAAAAATCGTTCGGCATGTCATCTTGCGTCACCCCCGGCAGGCAGGGACCGTGCATGTACTCCTGACATACATGCGTTTATGTCAGCGTGGCTCGTCAAGAAAGTTGAACGCTCCTGAGTTTGGCCAGTCGTCGCCTGTACCGTGCCACGAGTGACTCGGCAAGTAACATCAGTCGCACAATGACGGGCATTTTGTTGTCCACGGAATGGTCACCTCACGCGTTTCGCCTTTGATTTCCTCGTTGGTGCGCGCTCCGTAGGTGAGTCGCCTGGGCTTGTTCCTTGCCGATGTTGGTGGCAGCGGCGAAGTGAAGGAAATCCCTGGGATTTCGAGCACGCTCACCCCCGGCCAACCCCAATTCTCCAAAGACGGCAGGCATGTGGTCTACACGGCCTGGGATTGTGAACCACGCAAGCTCGGTATGATCTACTGCTACCAGCGTCCCTGCAACCTGTACTCCGCTCCCGTAGGCTCACTGCTGAAAAGCATGGACGGGGAGGCGGCGGGTGGTAGCGGCGAAGAGGATTCCGCCGATGCCGGCAAGACCACTCAGCAGGGAGGTTTTAACAAGCAGGAGCAGGAGGAGCACACTTGCCTCTGCCCCTCTTGGCGTCTAGCTCGCTCGGCGCGTTTTTCGCCGTCGGGCGATAGCCTGGTGTGGCTCTCCAGAGAAGAGGGTTTCGACACTCACAGCGGCTGCTTCCGCCTCACATCCGCTTCGTGGGATACAGAAAAGGGAGCCCTCGGCAGCCCGCCGCGCACCCTTGTAGATGTTGTGGCTGCGCCGAAGTCGAGCGCGGCGTTCCCGGGGCTTTGGGTGGACGATCTTCCCGACGCGTGCTGGACGCCAGACGGCGGTTCCATATTCTTATCGAGCGCTTGGGGTTCCCGGCAGTCGGTTGTCAAGGTTGACGCAGAAACGGGAGAGGTTGAGCGCGTTGTCAGGGCGACCGCTGCGGCGGGGCAGGACCCTTCTACAGGAGACCCGAAAGACGCCTCTGCTTCAGTGTTAGCGGTGGGTGAGGCCGGGGTGTACGTGGTGGCATCATCCCCGAACTCTCCCGGCGGTTTCGCTCTTCTTCCCGCCGCGGGGGGTGGACTAGGGAACGGGGAGGCTGTTCTTGGTCCGGCCGTCGGAGGAGTTTCCGTCTCATCCTCGGTCAGAGTCGGCCGTGCTGAGGCGGCGGGGATTAAGCGCGCCCTCGGCGACGCCAAATGGAGAGTGATTTTGGTACCTGTTCCGGGCGTTGATGACGAAGCGGGCGAACCACAACAAGAGCAAGCGATCGAGGCGATCCTTATTATGCCACCGCATCAAAGCGGCGGGGGAGCCAAAGCTGCACCGCTTGTGGTGGTTCCTCATGGGGGCCCTCACGGCGTCATGCCAACCGCGTTCGTTCCTTCATATGCCTTCCTTAGCGCGACGCAAGGGTTTGCCGTCCTTCACGTCAACTTCCGCGGATCTACTGGTGAGAGATGATGCCATTATTTTATTATTTTGAGCGTGCTTGCGCCCACCACTCGGTTCGATTAGGTCGTGACTCTGATGATATCTCAGCAGCAGCAGATGCCTCTTGCGACAGCAGGCCGGCCTTAGCCTGCAAGCCTCTCCCCAACTTACAATGGGTGTGGTGGACGTCTTTGCAGGCTTTGGAACGACGGCTCTGGAGTCTCTCCCCGGGCGTATCGGGAAACAGGACGTCGCGGACGTCGTAGCTGCCACGAAAGCGGCGCTCGCCCTCGAACCGGATGCCTTGGACGCGGCCAGGGTCGGCGTCGTAGGGGGCAGCCACGGAGGGTTTCTCGGCGCGCACCTGACCGCACAACATCCAGAAATGTTCAAAGCTACGGCACTGCGGAACCCGGTGAGTGAGCGTGTGCCAACACAGGAAGGGGTCATATTGGTTTGCTGGGGTGGATGTAAGCCCTGAAGCTAACCCCCGAAGATCGGATGCTTGGCCTGGGTATTGGATACACAGATTACTCTGCTGCTTGGGTCTCGCTCGGGTCCCAAATGGTTTCTCTTTGGTATCAAAGCGCCTTTCGAAAAAGATTTCAGTTTCGTCAACCACACAACCTGCTGCGTGGGTGACAAAGCAGAGGCGGTGCTCTTGTACAATTTGCTGATGCCGCGAGTGCCGGTTTTGCCATGCCAAACCTCACACGCCTGAATCCCCGTTAATCGCGTGGGATTCAAGTGCCGCAAAGGAGCGAACAATCTGCCCGCCTTCCTCGTGAATGAAGTTAGCGAGGCACACGCCCCCGTTGTGAGATAAGGTATCGCGGCTCGGCAGCTGCAAGTTCACTACAGCCATACCCCAGTCATTCGCGTTTTTGTGCTTTTTGTGGTACGCGACAATTGCTTCGGGCGAAGAATGCTTGTCACAAAACGACGGACCAAGAATGAAGTTAGGGCCGACGGGCCAACACTAGTCCGAGGCAATCCATCTTATTGACATCTCCGACGTGTGTCGTGGCAATAGTACGAATCTCAGTAAATGTCACCAACAACCCAACACTCCCTTGCAGCGTGTGCACTACTACTCGTCCCCCGTGCGGACAGCGGAGGAGTTTCCCACCAGCGGACTTCCCTTTTTGGTTTTATCGTGATATTCAATCGCCTTGAGTGATCACCACGTCACCATCTTAAGCAGACGCTCCGCCATAAATAACGTACATTGAGCATTTCTTGATCCCGTGCCCGGTATTCGTGTGGGTAATCGGCAGGTGACCAACATTGCGTCCATGGTCACAGTCAGCGACATCCCCGATTGGTGCTACGTAGAGGTGCTGGGGTGCGGCAAGTACAACTTCGACGCCTTCAAGACCCCCACAGCCGAGGACTTGCACGAAATGTGGAAGGCCTCGCCGGTGGCGCATATAGATGGTGTGGTGGCGCCAACGCTCGTGGCACTGGGGGCCAAAGACAGGAGGGTCCCGCAGTCACAAGGTGTGGAGTGGTTCCACGCTCTCAGATGCAGGGGGGTGGAAACGAAGCTGCTGGTGTACCCGGAGGATGTGCACGCGATAGATATGCCGGCAAGCGAGGCCGATCAATGGCTCAACATCGTCGGCTGGCTGAAGAAACACCTCGCTTGATGTGGGCGAGGCCCTGCTATGAAATGCTTTAGATGCTGTTATATTGGGTGCGTATCAATGCGAGTCAGAGTGCTCGGGTAGGAAAGGCTGCAGAGTGGGCGGTACAACTCGGCCAGTCGCAGGCCCTGCTGATTGTTCGCGGCGCATCAATTCACAAAGGGAACGCGATACCACCGACGAATCCCCACGGGAAGATCTCCCGTTTTCATAGCATATACTACAGCACCCCAATCTTCGGTAGAAACGCCATCGTTGTAGTAGACCACACGCTACACGTCCGTTTTCTACATCTTAACACCGCCGTGGGCGCAAATGGCCTTCCCATCCCCCCTCTTTCTACTCACACCCCAAGAATGTCGTCCACCTTGGTTGCGTGCGGCACAGCAGTTACATTTACAGCGACACCACGTGCAGAGGCGTGTCCTTCAGCCCCGATGGTTTGCCATTCAAATCTTGCATTTCACCACCCCCTGCCCACCACTCCCCTCCTTCCTCATCCGACCCGCACTCAACACCCTCCCCGACACCATCCCTTGTCGAAAGTTTGATGGCGGCTTCGCCATTACCAGCACAATGGTCACAATCATCCTCGCTAGGGGCTCGCCTCGGCTGCGGTCGAGGACGCGCCCCTGCGCGACTGTTATCCAATCCCTTCGGGCTGCGAGCATGCGCCCGGGGCTGCGCAGATGGCTTCAACCCCACTCCTATGGAACCAACCGCTGGAGACGGCGATCGCTGGCCTCCAGGCCCTCTCAAAGACGCCCGCAAGGCTGCGGCGGAGACCAGAGGGGGAGGGCGCAACGGCGGTGGCGGGGGCACGATAGCCGCCGAAGGTGAAAGGCCATTTCGGTCTCTGCCTCGACTCGTTGCGTGGTCTTGCCATCGGCAATGATCACCCGGGTGGTCTTCGCTCTCTTCGTGTAGTGCCCGGCCGCCAGGATGGAAAGCATCAGATATCGTGGATGATCGAGCGCCGCTCGTCATCGCAGCCGTGGTGGCAGTACCTCCTGTGGCGTTGTCGCGGCTACCCCAGGGTTTCCAAGCGTGTTCGGGGGCAGGGGTTTGCCCACCGGCAGCAGGCCCAGAGTGGTAAGGATGGGATTGGGCCAGTCCTATCCTTGTCTGGACGGATAGTGCGGCCTTCCTGCCCTCCAGCAACTCATCCATACTGCGTGGAGAGTGAGCGGTGCGCGGCGGTATGTGTGCATTTGAGGGGGCGTGCCGATGGAACCAGAGGGGGGATAACTTGCTTCGTGAGAGAGGCCATGCAGAGATGAAACAAAGCTGGTTCCCGAGCGAAGCAGATCGTGACCCTACAGCAGTAGAAAGCCTAATCACAAACACGCCACTGTACAGCACAGGTAAACGGTTCTCGCCGAAAAAAACAAAAGTACGCGACAGGAGCTGGGTTGTTGTCGGCAAGCACCCTTCCACTCCACACCGCCTACAAACGTGTCTGATGTTTCCCATTGGGTAAAGCACAACCGTTTGTGAAGGGTTGGCGTAAACGTGTACCTTCTCCGCTCCATCTCCTGACTGCGCCGTGCATCCTCCTCAGCTCCATGTCGCCGCGTCGTTTCTCTCGTGAGTCTCGCCTCCAGCTCTTGCACCCTATCCCAAAGGTAACGCACATCACCGCACAACCACATTGCGCAATAACGTCGCACCGCGTTCGGGCGTGGCAGCGGTGAGTGGGAGTGACTTTGTCGGTTGGAGTGAGAACGCAAAGAAATTTCTGGTAGACAGCAAGCAGGCCTACGACGGGAGCTGGAGAGGAACGGCGCCTCACAGCATTCTCTTCCCGAGGAAATGACTGAAGCCACAAAAATGTCCTTCATCGAAACCTACCTGTATCGAAGCGCGTGCAAATCATCGCATTTCTGGTCCAATTCGATCCGTCGCCGCTCGTCCTGTTTGGCTCTCGATCGTTCGGCCGCACGCCAGCGCTCCTGTTCTGAGTTCATGTGCTTGCGAAGGTCTACATTTTCTTGTGACATGCGCTTGGCCTCCTTCACAAGCCTGAGAGTGGGCGTCATACAAACGTCGGTGCACACCACAGAGCGAGTTGCTGGGTCCCCGAACCTACTCTCCAAGATGGCAACGTGACTGAAACGCAGCGGTACCTTATCCGAAACCACCATCTCGCTTCCGTTGGATCTTTCGGTGATGCGCAAGAGCAACCATGACTCTCAAGCCACGAAGAAACAGCACGAACCTCCCATATTCAAAATGTACGGACGACAAAGACACGAGCATGAAAAACATCACTCTTACCGTGCGAATTTCTCCCGCATTTCTTTGACCTCCAGCCCTCGCGCGTCTGCCAATTCTCGGAGCGCGTCCACTTGTCCCCCTAGGGTCTTCGCCTGCGCCTCGAGCCTTTCGTTCTCTGCAGTGCGTCTGCGGAGATCCTCCAACGCACCCTCCATCTTCAGCCGACGTTCGTCAAGCTGCCGCTTGCTCTCGTGCGCCTTACGGTGCCAGGGATGCGTCAGGCCAACGGTGTACAGGGAATGTGTTCGATTCCGTCCACTCTGGCTGAGTGCACTCCAGGAAACATCAACGTAACTCACTCTTAAGCCCCGAGGCCTACGCTTACTGTCGTTACGATGTTGCGTTGCTTGAACCAACGCGTAACCTATTCGAAAACCGGAATGCCGAGGCTTAAAATGAATGCGTCCAACGTTCACTCCTGTCGTTTAGCAGTCGCCTCCCACGACAATCACGAAACCAATTCCTCAGAAAACTAGGGTCACTTCCGTCTCGCCGGCTCCTCGGCGATTTTAACCCCTTGCAGTGCTACGTTGCCGTGTAAACTTCAAAGGCAGCGGTTCACAGGAAAGGGGGCAGCACCAACAAAGCGGTAGCAGTGCATCAAAACGGGAACCAGTGCTTCATCTGTCTCTGCCGCATGCTGAAGCACACCATCGATAGACTGCTGTACCACACGATACTGCCATCGTCTTCTCAGTCCATTGAGCTCACCTCCTCCTCTAGGGCCTTGCCTCTAGCCTCCAGAACTTGTCGAGACTCACACGCCTTCCCTAGGGCCTCCTCCGCCCGCAGCCGGTCCGCTTCCTCTTCCCTCGCCCACGCGAGAAGCCTGGCGAACCGTGCTTCCGCAACCTTCGTCCGCCCAACCTCTGCCTTCGCCGCTTCCGACTCTGCGCGGACGCTTCTCTCGAGCTCTTCACAGCGGCCCTCGAGCCTTGAAATCGCTCGCGAAAGGCCATCTGCGGGGCGCGAGGGGAGGCATGGACGAGTTGACGCGCTCATCCCGGACTAGGGTGAACCTTTTGCAACTGGCACTGGCAGTACCGTAGGCGAAAGAAAATACCCCAACCCCTGGACCGGTTTTCAAAGCTCGATTACTCCACGAAGGGGGTACCAACGTCAAATGATCAGGGAAGCTCTCGACGAGACGGATCCAACGCCGCCAAGCTCGGCACTGTCAATCTTTCTGCTGTGGAGTAGTGAGAGCTTTGAAGTCGGTGCAGGGGGTGTGGTATCTTATGCCACCTACCGTAGGATTGCTGGAACGACAGAAAGAGTTTTCGCCAGGGCCGGAAAATGCGAGCTTCAGGACAAAAACCGCCTGTTGTGCCAAGGTACATGTAGCACGGTTTCGAGTGGTTTCGAAGCGGACTCCAGCAATCGACCCAAATTGCCCACATGCTTGCATATGTTCATTCAGACTATTGGGGTTGTATGCCAAAAGCGGACGGACTTTGTGCCACAGGTAACGCCGAGAAAATCCGGTGTCGTGGCATCCAACCATCCGAGCGCCTACAATCAGGCCGCTCTTCGCCCCGAGGGAGAAACCGTTGTTTGCTCCCGACGGAGCTCACCGTCTCGTTGCTTCCAAGCGGCGCGCTCCTGATTCGCAGACGCCACGTCTCTGCGGAGGTCGTCCATCTCCCCGACCGCCTGCCTACGAATCAAAAGCAGGCGGGGAAAACACAACAGTGCGCATGCGCAAAAACGATCCGTAGTAAAGGCGCATGTGTAAACCATCCGCACCATGATCAAGCCTCCGTTTTGCTCTATCGACGCTAATGGTCAGGTGGGCTGCTTTGTTGCAAGCAGACGGCAAATGCAGGAGTCATCGAAGGCATCCAAATAATTTGTTCCATCTCTGGCGACAGAAGTTGTGATAAGCGGCGATCTGGACTACTCGTGACTCGTCGATCGCACCGCAGCATCATCAGCAGATGTTTCCGGTCCGATCCACGTGACGCACCCGTCCTAGTGCCAGCAACGCCCGCCTCGCGATCATCAGATACACAGCAGTGCCCTTTCGCTGCTCGTTCAGCTCTATATTTGTCTCTGTCTCTGTCTCTTGAGTGCGGGGGTTTGACTCCGCCGGCGCTTCTGCTCTGAGACACCCTCTCCTTTCGGCGACTCCTGTCTCTCGCTGATTGTGCGCCGGCCTTAACCTGTGAAGCTGCTTCTGCTGCTTTAGGCACCGGCGGCTTACGCTGCAATCGCTGCGACGCACCAGAGACCAACCAATCACACGCCAAGCGTGGGTTGACAGAACGACAGGGGGGATGCTGACCTGTTAAAGATTTGGTGTCTCTTCTCATTCCGCATTCTTACACTGGTCGCAGGGAGGGAAGGCGCATTGACGAACAGGCGCTCCTTTTCTGCCAACACCTGACCAGCGGTGCGAGCGACGCCCGCCATCAAAAGGGATGCCACACACTGTGCCAAGTATTCTGAGGTGGAGACTATGAGGGTCTAAGCTGAATACATGTAGCACATCTCCTTGATTGCTTGTCCAATGTAGTAAAGTTGCCTAAATGTCATGGAGGGACTACCGGCACACTAAAACATCGGTAAGGGGCAGGGCATGGAAGATATGAGCTTTGGACCGCCGAGAAATCAAACGCCCCCCACCCCTCACCACTCCTCGCCCCCTTCCCACCACGCAGCACCTTTTGGCCAAATTCGCTTAAGTTCTCTGGGGCAGCCCTTTGGCCACTGCTACGCCTCTCTCCGATCGAGCGGTCCAATGCTGTACGGAATACCGGGAGGCCTTCGTCGTTTCTTGGCTGCCTCGAAGACTGCGGAAAGGTCACAGGATTGCAGCATGCAGCGGGTGGACAATCATGCCAAGATGGGGATTAACGTTGGCAAATGCCTATCGCGGCCACGGATGCACATAGCCAGATCTACCGGGGTCGAGGCAAATCTTAAGAGTACAGACAGTAGCGTCGTGAAGCAGCATCGACGAACATACAAATAAGGACGCCCAGGGACTTGGCACATCGTACCATGATGCGGAAGTACATCAAAGTAGAACCTGCACACAGAGTCCCCCATAGGCTACAACGGACCCTTTTGGGCTTGTCGCCCCTTGCAGTACCGCCATATGGTAGGTTCTACTACATGCTTGACATTCTCCATAGTACACAGCCAATATCTGTGAGGTACTCGTAAGAGAGCCGCGAGAAGTACACATGTACTACACGCAAGACGTCAAGATATGAAGTGGGCACAAACCAAGACGGCAAGAGATATGCATCGGCGGAGGTGAGGAACCTGCCCCAAATACGGGAAAAAAATACGGCAACACGGCGAGCGTATCTACAGCTTACCTTCATGACCTCCAATGGCCAAGAGTGGCAGTGCCTTGCGGAGGATCTCTCGGTTGGGGTACAGCAGTCTAAAACCTAACGCCGTAATTTGATCGGGAAAAAAAACGACGTGATGCCACCAATTGATGTCGAGCTCTCAATACCGACGCAGCTGGTGAGCTTCGCCTTTCGTTGAACTTGAGAATATAGGCGGCTTGAAGAACTCCATTGCAACGTCCTACATGGAGAGACGCTCTGCTGTGCAGTTGTCTCGTGTGGTACGACAGCCGTCGTGCAGTGTTGCACGTCTGATAAAAAAATAATGAGTGTGAGACATAACGCCTCGGGCGGGAAGCCATCCCCTGCTGAAACCCCTCGATTTCTTGCGGCGGAACAACTCAAGACCTCGCCTCCCACGGCCGGCTTCATAGGGCGCAGCAGGGCTGGGAGCGTCGATATTCCGGCTGAGATAGGTGAGGTAGCTATGTCAACCGTGCAGCCTTTGCTTTACAGTCGGGGCTAGTCCGTAGGGGTAGATTTCCAGTTTTTTCTCAGGGCGTACCACCGAAGGACAACTCGGAAATCTCCGAGTAAGGGTTGGATCTGCTGCAGTCCCTCCACGAGTCTATCGTGTTGCAACGGAATATCGCCAACATCATGCACTTAGGTACTGTTGACATCTTTCACAAAAGATTTGGAGCGATTTGATCCTTCAGAAGATAAGCATGTTGAGATCAAAGTTCAATATTGTTGCGCTATGCTTGAAAGATCCGAACCGCAGGTCTGCATATCTACATGCACCGCAGCACAGCAGATTGGGTTGTCTTAACTTAAACATACACTGCACATGTCAAACTGCTATGGAAATACCAGAAAGCACGCGGCGGGATACGCTCACTATCTGTCGACCTGAAGGGTCCATGGTTTTTGGTGATCAAGAGAGGGTGGAAGCGACTTTTCTGAACCCCAGACCACATCTAGAGAAGTTGACGTTCGAAGCGAACGCATCTTTGTGGATGGTCCGCGGTACTTCGATACCGCACACGAACTAGACCCCCCCCCCCTGATTTGTACAGTATTATTTGGATTACTTTCGATACATCTGAAACGTTTTGAGCAGTATCCTTCCAGGTACGAATATAGAATTGATTTTATGGTTTAATATGGAGACACACGCACCTGACTTTGGGATGGGATGCCATGAATGACTGTCTGAGTGTCATGGTATCTAGTCTATTATCTATATACACTACGGATAACGCCGAGTTAACTACTTCCTTGTTGTGCGCGTTACGATTTCAGGGTATCCTTGGCCTAGGACCTGTCTGTAGAGGGAGGATCGAGCCGACGCGCGATGAAACGTAGTAGGAGTAGCGGGCAGCGGGGGGGGGGGAGCGGCGACAAGTGCCATACAGAGCAGACCGTGCCCCACCTGCGTCTCCTCGCCCTGAATCAAGACGTGGACGGACATGCAATCCCGCTGAAGGAAAAGCGACACCAAGGAGGACGTGCCACCCACGTAATCGCCCCCCACGAACTCCGTCGAATCCTGTTAATGGTAGCAGCGGGGGGGGGTCTACGGCTACTTGTCAACGGGGAGGCGGCCTGGGCACCGCTTCCCCAGAGGCTACACCCGCAAGTACGCCTGGCGTCGCAACTATGCGAGTGGCGGGATCCGGCGCGCGTGGCCGAGATCCGGGAAGCCATACAGGATCCGGCAGGAAACGCAGAAAGAGACGGTCGCTGGGGCAGAGGCGGCAAGCCGTCTTTTAGGGGAGGATGGCAGACGAGGAGTACAGTGAGCAGCAAAAGGAGGCGAGGCAACATGCGAAGGTCCGCAGAGAGCGAGAGATTACCGAAGCTGAACGTGAGAAGTTGGAGTCTGGAGGCAAGCGGACAGTCGAATTCCGGCGTCGAAGTTGCGGTAGAAAGCTTGGAACAGCTGGCTCTCGCTCCGTCAAGCGGAGTGCAGCGCGAAGACAGTCTGATCCTGGAGTTAGGAATACTCAGATCGGAGCCGAGAAAAAACACGCAAGAAACCTTGTAGGCGTGGGGAGTGCGGTTGGTTCACAAACAACCCGGGTCTCGAATGCAGCATGTGCCCCTCAGGCGTAGTGCACGCCTTCAGTGACAAGCTATGCTCCGCATGCCATAGGTCGGAGGGCTTAGCTGGCTTCACGCACCTCAGAGGGCCACGGCTTGAACGAGCGACACGGTTGTTTTTGGCCGAGTACCAAGAAGGAAAGGGGGAGCTGCCTCTACCTCTCGTGCGAAGATTTTGTCCCAGCAACGACTGCATTTGCCAACGCCGAAATTGTTTCTACGGTTTTCTTCTCGAGAGGGAAGCAAAGCCGGAGCTCCGAACATGTAGCGTGTGCAAGAGAGGGTACCCTGTGAAGGACCAGAAGAGGTGGTACAGTGTGGACGTGGTGGACGATAACATAACGGAGGGTGGTGGATCAGGACGCACACAAGCTTGGTACTGCCAGGCCTGCAATCAAGCTCGAATCCGGGCCATCGGAGAAGCTACTCAAAAAAGGTTGCGGCATCGAGCAACTCGGGCCGACCTAAAGCCGATGAACCGGCGCCGGAGAAGGGTCACTAAAAAAGAAGAGGAGGAGCTTGTCAGCGCGCCGACGAAGGCAGTGGAGAAGTTTCAGGAAGTCGTCGCACACTGCGTATTNCCGGAGTACAAAAGGGATACATGCCCGTGCGGGCCCCAACGGGGCATCCTGACGGCCGCAGCTGCTGCTGCGTGCGTGTGCGCCGTATTTTTCTTACGTGACTTTGTCTTTCGATGTGTGTGTGTATGGCGGCGCAACACTACAGGACACTGTAGGAGGTAAAGTAACCGTTTTCAGTTCAAATATGGACGCACGCCATTTGCAATTACTTCATCTGTACTGTGTGTTGCACCAAAGTTCAAATTGCAGTACAACCGCAAGCCTCACAGCAAGCCCATCCTGTGTCTCATACCACGAGTAGCGCGTCCAAAGATAAGCACGCTTGATCCGCGCAATACCTTTTATTCCAAGCGATAAGTACCTCCCTCTGTCTCGGAAGCACTTCTGGACGCAATACTCGATATGTGTACTCCTCGTGTCATTGTTCGTAATTGTGTAAAGTTTCGTGTCGATCGGTTAGGTATAGGGCGCGTTCTCGTGTTNGTACCTCTTTTTCCAAGCGATAAGTACCTCTCGGAAGCACTTCTGGGCACAATACTCGATATGTCTACTCCTCGTGTCATTGTTCGTAATTGTGTAAAGTTTCGTGTCGATCGGTTAGGTATAGGGCGCGTTCTCGTGTTAAGCTTGCCGCGCGTGCACACCACAGGAGGTTCGGCCGCAGCAGGGGCATGGATCACATTTTTTCGGCAGAGTCTCGGAGCCTGCGCCGAGCAGTTCTCGCGCTATAGTCAACGAAATTCCATGAAACCAGCTTTCCTGAATAGCTACTGGTCTATTTTACTGCTGTACGCCGACAAAGGTGGCCGTGCGGACGTCTGATCGCCGGTGGGCTAGCCAACTGCCATTTTTTGTGTTGAGCAGCTTTCTTTTTTTTCTATCAGGCGTGCAGCACTGCGTGGGCTCGCACTTCAGATGTTGAGTAATTTTGTGCATACCGCCTCCGAACCTTTCTGCGGGCTCCCCGATCCGGCGCACAAAGCTGGCAGCTGCTTCCGCTGCTGTACAATCGCGGTGCGTACACATCCTGTATACCCCTGTAGCGAACATCGGGAGGGTTGACTATGGTCGGGCCTCGAGAGGTTGCTGTCTCTACGCTTGCCCTCATGGTGCAGGCCAGCGCCTTTCGCTGTCCCCATGTGTCGGGTGCACTGGTTCTTCGAAATCATGCAGCAGGCAACCGCCCCAAGGGCAGCAGCAAGTCAGAGACACCGACCTACCGCCGTCCCCGCCGGGCTTCGACGGCCGTCAGGATGGTCTCCGACAGAGAGCAGGAGCTCAAGGACAAGATTGCGAAGCTCAGGGGGGCGGCGTCCAAAGGGGATACTTACGAGCGCGTGGTTGGCAAGGGTTCGGAGTTGAAAGGTGGGTGTCACGTAACTTCTTCGTGTTGTCAGTGACACTTCAAGTGAAGCGCGTGTCCTCGAGGCTACCACTACTGCTGTACATTTAGAACATTGTTGTGCCAGTTCACTGACTGGTGGTGGGTACCACAACAATATACAGTAAATAACTGCTGTGTGGACGATTAAGAGGCCTAGTGCTGATTATCCCAGTCCGTGCCGGACATTATCCCGTTGGTGCGTGTTTGAGAAGCTAACATGTCACATGTTGAGGAGAGTATTTAACGTGTCACAAGATTAACAGCTGTGGGTCGTACTTCGGGTAGGTTTTATCGCTCGAGGGCCTGTGTAGCGTTGATAGTGACACCTTGACCCATTTAGGAGGACCCTGATGAACTTTGAAAAGGCTTTACCGTTCAATCGCTGTCTTGCACAACCCAATAGCACTATTAGAGATTCCGCATCTCCAAATGCGGCGGAATCGCTGCCGGCCGGTGACGTACTCGCCGAGAAGGCAGAGAGATAGACAAGCCGGTCCAGACTTGCTTTGAGTGCACGCGTACAGACACCTAAGCCTTACCTCGTTGCATGAACCGTCAGATAAAATGGAGAAGAGCAAGGGGGAGTTCGATCGAACGGTTGACCGCGAGAGACAGGTGCGTCACGCATACCTGCGCTGCGTTGACGGGGTGTTGATGAATGCTGAAAGTAGAATGGGGAGCGATGGATGCCTTCCGACCTATCAATGCTACAACGCAGTGTTGTCATTGCACTCTCCGATGGAATCAGAATTATACAGGCCTTGTCGGATGAAGCCTTTATCACTGCGATGCCAGCGGATCCTGTGTGTGTGCGCCCTGCAAAATGCCTCTTCAAATAGCAAAGGACTCCCCGCTATTCCGCGAGCTATGAAAGAAGCGAGTAGAGCTATCCAACGCTGCGCCTGTCTGAAAACAGAGGATAACAATGCTCAGTCTCGAAGAGGAACGCGTGGAAGATCGTCAAACGACGAGAGCAAAGAATTAGTACCGCCCACCAACCATACCTTCATTCACTTTCGCGTTGTATCGTGCTGTGCCCTGAAAAACCAAAACATCCCTCAGGACAAACTCCGTGCTAACCTAGTCGTCAAGGGTGACAAGGATAAGGCCGTCAGCGAGCTGGAGGCGGGGAGACGGACCATCGTCAGGGACCCCGATGACCCCATGCAGGAGGCAAACATTCTGGATGACCTAATGGTCTCACGGGAAGAAGACCTTGAGGACGAGCTTAGAGCGGCCTACGCTGCGGTGAGGACTTGCGGGGAAGCAGTAGCGAATCGCTGAGCCGCATGGGAAGACAGCGGCGGTTGCGCGAACAGGTGGCGGCAGGAAAGATTCGGCTTGTATGGCTTGTATGGCTACCTTACTGCCATGGGTAATCTCTTTCTGTCAACAGCCCTCAACAACGACGTACTACTGATGGTACATGCCACGATGCTGCCGCGGATGCTCACGTTGACCACGCTGCTTCACGCGATGAATGTCTCCTTCTTGACTCCCGCTTTCTTCGCTATTACTTACGCCTGAGCCCACCGTTTGCTGTGATATGCGTACCGCCTTCATCAACGAGTTTGATAGTACACCACTCTGACTGAGGCAATGCCGGCCATTTTCCTCTGCACTGCTGGTGTCCGACGGTGGGCTTGACAGGGCAGCAGCTCCGACGTCGCTGCGGGGAAAAAGCCCAAGTTCGACGGCGCTTACGGTTCGACCATGCAAGGCGCCGAGGCGTTTTTCAACAAGCCGTCGCCCTTCCAAAAGGCCGCCAAGTACAAAGAAGAGTCTGCCGCTGCGAGTGCAAGCGCGTCTACTGCGGATGCTGAAGCTACCGCAGCGGGAACTTCCGCGGACGCTCGTGTTCTCGAAGTGGTGGAATCTGCCGAGGCTGCCACAGAGACTACTGGAACAGTTATTGAGGTGGTTACCCCGGGCGTTGACCAGAAGGTTTTGTAGGACAACGGCGTCAAGATTGTATGCTACCGCACACGGCCATGTTGGTATTGGTACTGGTGGACATACCTTCATTCGGGGTTGAAACGGTACGGACTTGAAAAAAACTGGTAATGTTGCCATTTCAGTTGGCGGTAATTATTCGCGATCTGGAGTGTTGTAATGTTGAGGAGCCTCCGTTACATACGGGCACCCACTCGTGTGCCGCTTATAGACACATGCACAGCAAGAATCAAGACGCGTGCCATCATGCTGATTGGGGGGTGTGATGAGCTACCTCTACATGATTTTCGTCGATCCACCGAAGAAGACAAGTAGAGAATCTCTGATATAGGTGACGAGACTTCGGAAACGCTTGTAACAACCAGCAACACAGGTATTTCCTTGTTCCCGAGCCCTCTCATCTGCGGGCTGTGGGGTGTGGATTGTTTCACAAGTGACTGGCCGACTTTTGACCGCTATCTTGCCTACAAGATTGCGTGTAGCTTCAGTGTCTTCATGGCATGCCATTGTTTGCTGTTGTCTTCACATTAAATACCGTTCCGGTGTCTGCCAGGTACCTCCCGACATCCGTACAGGTGGTCCAACTGACGCGGACGTCTCCGTGGTCACGAGCCAAGTACCCGAAAAGGGTACGGTGCGCATATCTAGCACATTTTTTTTTTCACCTCAAGGGTGCTTGTGCTTGCCGCCGCCATGACGCTGTCGCCCTTTCCTCTCCACCAGGACTCGTTTGAGAAGGTCACGGGAAGCGTGGGTGGGCGCTGGGAGAAGCCGAAGGAGGGTGCTGATGTGGACACGCACAAGCCGGCAGTGAGCACCTGGGGGGTGTTCGAGCGCCCGAAGGACATGAGCAAAGCCTTCGGAGGGGGGCGGGATCCTACCCTCAAGAGGCTAGATCCAGAGGAGAAGCGTCGACGAGACGAGGAGACCAAGGCCATCTTGAACAGGTCAGAATTTGCAGGCTGGTGCCATACCAAGCTTTGTACGAGTTGGTGGCGTCTTGGGAAATGCCAAAAGGTGTTGTTTGTCCGGGGAAGAGCTTACCACAGCGGGAGGTGGCCGCGCCAACGCCATTTTGAAAAAATAGTCAAGGGGCGCGTGCTCCGAGGCTGTTTTGAATAGACGGGACAGGGACACATCGAGTGTTTTTAATACAGTAGGTGTCCCGATATTGTGCCGGTATGTGTGCGGGCGGATCGACCGGCACTATGTATAAAGACTTATCCACTATGCTACTCATTCAGCTAGTGGATAAGTCTTTATCTAACAACAGATACACGCACGGGTTCGAATCCCGGCTGGATCACTTTTGACGCACCCTCACTACTTTATCAGCTACTTTATCAGCAGCGCGTGGCGAGGGGTCCGGCCCCGGAGATCCCTGTCGCCCAACGATCCAGGTGGGAGGCTAAGAGCCTACGAGTATATCTTTTGTTAGATAAGGACTTATCCTCTATGCTACTCAGTCAGCGCTGACTTACTAGCATAGACTAGTGGATAACTCTTTATCAAACGCATTATACTGGGCACCGGCACTATTCAGAATTGTGCCTGAATAGTGCCGATGTGCCA